TTAAGGGCAATGATATATCGTCTAGGAAGATTAGAAGAAGGTTCACATAAAGCTGCAGTGAGGATGCCCTGTATATAACCCTTCTGGAAGTCGCTGTCACTGTGTCTATGGTTCCTGGTAACTAGATTGAGTTGATAGTTGGGTTTGTGTATGTTGTTGGTAAATTTGAGTCCCAGACTCAGTGCCTGTTTCCCGTAAACAACCTATCGTCACGCACCTTAACTGACTACGAGAAACAGGCACTAAGTCTGGGACTCAAATTTACCACCAACATACACAAACCCAACTATCAATTCAACCTAGTTACCAGGAACCATAGACACAGTGACAGCGACTTCCAGAAGGGTTATATACAGGGCATCCTCACTGCGGCTTTACGTGAACCTTCTTCTAATCTTCCTAGACGATATATCATTGCCCTTAAGGACCTCGCCAACGACCCCAACATTATCGTCACCACCACCGACAAAGGAGGTGGAGTTGTCATACTCAACACCAGTGACTACAACACCAAAATGATGGACCTCTTGAATGATCAGTCTACATACGAACCCATCAGCACTCAACAGTGGGTCACACTTACCAAAGATTTTCTATACAAAACCAGACAAATACTAAAACGCACTAGAGAAGGGAAGAAACTTCTGTACTTGTTACCCAGCAACCCTAAACCAACACACATGTATGGTTTACCCAAGACCCATAAACATAATATTCCTCTCAGACCAATCACGTCAGGTGCACCACACAAACTAGCCGGAGTTCTTGCCAAACATCTTTCCTGCCTTCTGGGGACCATCAGCCCCGCTCATCTTAAACACTCAGGCGACCTTCTCAACCGCATCCGAAACCTCTCCATCTGTAACAAGAAACTAAGCAGTTTGGACGTGACTTCCCTCTTCACAAAAGTACCTACCACAAAAGCCATCGAGGTTCTACGACGTAAAGTCAATCAGGACCTTAATCTTCCTCTACCTCCTGGAGATTTTGTTGACTTGATTGAACTCTGTGTTAATTTCAACTGTTTTTCTTTCAATAACAGGCTTTACAAACAAACCTACGGCATGGGAATGGGGTCCCCATCAGTGCCGTCCTAGCCAACTTGTACATGGAATACCTAGAGTCCGAACACTTCGCCAACATCATCCCTTCAAGCGTCACTTGGTTACGTTACGTGGACGACGTCCTCGTAATAACATAAATAACAAAAAGGCACAATACCGTGACTGGAACGATACACAAATAACCCGCACATAAAAGAGAGAAGCTTACGACGACGTTTCGGTCCGACTTGGACCATTGACAAAGTCACACTAACCAGAGGTGGAGCAGGACGGCTATATATAGGCAGGAAGAGGTGGTGGTAGTAGTAGTAGTAGTAGTAGTAGTACAAGAGTTGTATATAATACCGGCAAGATGAAATTAAGACACATGCACAACACCCGGGCATCCCCATCATAGACGTTTCGCCATCCAGCCAGCCACTGGATGGCGAAACGTCCACAACAAAGACAACCAGACGCCGCACATGTGTCTTAATTTCATCAGTAGTTGTAGTAGTAGTAGAAGAAGAAGAGGTAGTAGCAGTGGTAGTGGTAGAGGAGGGAAATAAGGAAGACGAGCCAGTCAAATACAAAGGAAGGGGAACACTGCAAGAGAGCTAGACGCCCAAACGTTTTGATGTACGGAATCTACAGGCAAGGCTCAACGCAGTTGAACCGGCGATCCAGTTTACACTAGAAGAAAAATCCAATTACAAACTACCTTTCTCGACGTCCTCATTTACAAAGTAGACAACAGCCTAAGATTTCAAGTTTATCGGAAACCTACCAATAAAAACGATCTCACACGCTACTATTTCAGTCAAGATACTAGGACCAAAAGAGGCATCATCATCGGGTTTTTCCTAAGAGCATACAGAATTTGTAGTCCTGAGTTTCTTGACGAGGAATGTACATACATTCACCGAACCTTCACAGATTTACATTTTCCTTCCTTTTTCATCAAAGACTGCAAGAAAAGAGCCCTTCAGATCATTAATTCTCCACGCACCAACACCACTCCCAACAAAGTTATAATTCTTCCCAACAGCCAGGTTGCACTGAACGTTTCTAAAGTACTTTCACAAGCTAACACCAGAGTCGCCATCGCTTCCAGCACTTCGATAAAGGATCTAACCAGAACAAAATCCAAGCACCACGAACCAGTCAACGCAGGGGTTTACAATATACCCTGTGGAGGCTGCGACAAGATTTATGTAGGTGAAACAGCAAGAAACCTCGACACCCGCCTCAATGAATACATTTATGCTTGTAGGAACGATAACTTGAACAACGCCTGTGTACAACACCGAAATTCCACCAATCATCTCATGAAGTTCAGGGACGCCCAACTAGTGATCAAAGAAACTAATTTCCGCAGACGCAAGTGCCTTGAATCTTCACTAATAGCTGTTTCTAATACAATCAAACAAAACAAAGGCAGCTTCACCATCTCTGAAGTCTTAGCAAGAATCCTCCTGAAAACAGTAAACCCTGCCATCACATAGTCTCTCCTGTTAATACTACACAAGCACATTACAGAGAATGAACATTGAAACAGGCCTTCTCTATCCAGCCTCCAATAGAAATATTTGTCTAACCAAATTTTAATGTTTCCAAGTAATAGCCTTTATATCGTTTACTCTTGTGCAAGTTAATTGTTCTACATATTGTATTACTTCTACTACTATTACTACTACTACTACTACTACTACTACTACTACTACTACTACTACTACTACTACTACTACTTCTACTACTACCACCACTAGTATTGCACCTCACTCTGAGCCTATATATACCCTCTGTGTCTATGTACTGTTTGTAACGGCTTGACAAAGCTCCTGGAGAGCGAAACGTTGCCACAATAAAATGTCACATTAGTTGCACTTGTGTCCTTTTACTTTACATCTGCACTCTGGTTGTATCTTTCTCAAAGGTATCACACATCATCTCATCTTCTGTGCGTCGACTCTTCTTGAAATAGCGTTTCTTTCCAACGATAAATTTTTTTTATAAAATTAATCTGATGATCAAATGGGTGGCAGCTATTTATAATGGTTTCTTTTACTATTTTAAATGTCGCTGAATTTATCAAAAATACGCTAGTGAGGGTGAGGCTTGTTAGATGAAGCAGGATAAAAACTCTTAGTCATAAACATTTGTAGGAAGCTGCGTCTTCATCCCGTGTATGTGAGGCAGAGACAGAGAGAGAGAGAGAGAGAGAGAGAGAGAGAGAGAGAGAGAAACAAACACACAAATCTGCATATTTAGTTTCTACTTTCGAAACAATTAAGCTTAATTGCACCGTAAAATCACCTTAATTTGCATTAAAAATATATAGCGAATACATTACTTATTATTATTATAATCTTTAAAGTAGACATCAGTATGCGGCTTCATTGCTCCATTAATCTTAATAGTTATCACAGTATTGTCATTTAATACTAGGCACAACCGTTATGATACGAATTTGAATTTGAATTTAAATTATAACCGCCATTCCGTTTCAAAGGCCGACACTAACGGTTGACCTCTTTGTGAAACCCGCAAAATATGTTTGATCTCAACACAATGTTGGCCGCCTCTGGGCGTCCCTCTGTTCTAATTAGTTTGAAATAGATCAGTAAAATGTACATCAGTGACCAGAGTTTGAAGAGTGTGTGTGTGTGTGTTTGTGTGTGTGTGTGTGTGTGTGTGTGTGTGTACTTGTCTATTTGTGATTACTATTTGTGGTTGCAGGGGTCGAGTCACAGTTCCTGGCCCCTCCTCTTTGCTGGTCGCTACTAGGTACACTCCCTGCACCATGAGCTTTATTGTACCTCTTGTGTTAGTTACCATTTTGTCTAAGTCACTGTGTGTGTATATGTGTATGGTGTGTGTGTGTGGTGTGTGTTGTGTGTGTGTGTGTGTGTGTGTGTGTGTGTGTGTGTGTGTGTGTGTGTGTGTGTTGTGTGTGTGTGTGTGTGTGTGTGGGGGTGTGTAATGTGCTCGTGGTCGACTGTGTGGCGGTGGTTGTGTGTGTGTAGTGTGTCCGGTGTGGTGTGTGTGTTGTATTGGTGTGTGTGTGATGTGACAGTGTTTGTACTTGTGTGCTGTTTGGTGGTATGGTGTGTTGTGATGTGTGGTGTATGTGTGTGGGATGATTGGTGTGAATGTGTGTGTCTGTGCGTGTGTGTTGTGGTGTTGTCTGTGGTGTGTACCCTCGGGGGGGTGTAAAACTCAGCCGTGACGAACATGTTTACTTCTGTTGTGATTATTATCGAGCTGAGGTATATGGGGGAACATCTCCTACTGTATTTTGTCAAATAGTTCAATTATGCAGCAAGAATTGAAAACATCGTTAAAATTCTGCTTTCCAAGTGTTGGAGATGATAACGCCAACAGATTCATCCTTCAAGGGAGAAAAGTCTTTGATGCTCATGAAGACCTCTTGAGGTACAGGAACTGGAGCTTCCTCCTGCCACCTGCCTTCCTCACGCATTGTATTATCATTGTTAATAATAATTCAAAACGGTTAGGTAAACAAGCGAAGGTGCTGGCAATAATACACTTTATAGTTCTTTCAGGCAGGTGTGTATCAGATTGTCACTATTAGTATCGCCCTCAAATTTAGTGTAGGTATTGGCTAATTTTTGTGATATCGGTATTAACAAAAGAATTTGGTAACATTTCATCCCTACTTTTAGGTACTGGCAAGGTAAGGACCACAAAATCTGGAGATTTGCTAAGCTCAGAAGAATGATTCATCGCCTGAAGGTTAACACTATTGTTATGACATCAAGACTCCTGTCAAGATTCTCAACAGAAAACTTGGAGAGTGCAGAATTTTTTTTTTTTTGTGTCGTAGATAATACCTGAGAGTGCAACCTGTTCTCTGGTTAGCGCGTCCCTTACTCACCCCTCTCTCTCTCTCACTCACACACACACACACACACATAGTATGCAGGCAGTACTCACGTGTGACTCTGACGAGGATAGCGTTGGAGTGTCCATCACCTTCTCTGTTGGATGCCAGGCAGGTGTAGAGACCAGCATCACTTCTCTCTACCGGTGACACCACCAGCGAGGCGTTGTCCCGCATCCACCGCCGCCCGCCCACGCCCACCACGCGACCCTGTGGACGGTGAGTTGATGCAGAGAGGGATACACCGAAGGTTGAATGAGGAACTCCGTGGAGGGGGAGGAGGAGAAGAAGAGGAAGCGAGGGGGAGAATAAATATTAGTGAACATGGTATGTGACTGAACAACACGTTCAAGTATTGACATTAAACTTTGAACAAATGACGTGTTATTTTATGGGCTATAAAATATATAGCTCTTATATAAATAGGACATGTGGCTATGATAATACGAAATAAGACATGGGATTATGATGATACAAAATAAGACATGGGATTATGATGATAAGAAATAAGATATGTGGCTCTTGATACGAAATAAGACATGGGATTGTGATACGAAATAAGACATGAGTATGATGATAGAAATAAGACATGTGGACTTGATGTACGAAATAAGACATGATGATGCTCGAAAAAGATGATAGAATACGAATATTTTGACATGGCTAGATGATGAAATAGGACATGGGATTCATGATGATATCAAATATCATGGGAGCTATATGTATTTAAGAAATAGAATGTGGACTAATGATATAGAAAAGACATGGGATGATGATGATACGAATAAGTACATGGGCTGATATACGAAAAAGCACAGGACTATGATGGTCGAATATAAGACATGGGATATGATGTCATGACATGGATTAAGAGAACGAAATAACATGGGTAGATACAAATAGACATGGACTGAACTATCGAAAAAGCACATGGTATGTGTGAACTATAATAAGACATGGGTTATGAACTATACAAAAGAGTACATGGGACTATATATAAGAATAGATATGTGGTCTGCAATACGATAATAAGACATGGGTGTGACACAATAAGACAGACTATGTATGAACTAAGACAGCTCTTCAGTAGATAACATGTGGCCTGCAAAATAGATAAATTGTTGTGAATTGAATAGACAGTGTGACTGAATATTATAATCGTTGAGTAATATTAAATAGTAATGTGGCTGGGACTATTAGAATCAGCACATGTGGCTGACATTACACAGTACATGTGGCTGAACACTATAATATCACGCACATGTGGCTGAGACATAATAGCAAGTACATGTGGCTGAGCACTAATAAGCACAGTACATGTGGCTGAACTATAATAGCCACATGTGATTTACACTATAACAGCCACATGTGGCTGAGACAAATAGACAGCACATGTGCTGAACATTAACTAGCACAACATGTGGCTGACACTATAAATAGTCACATGTGCTGGACACATAATACAGCACATGTGGCTGAATATTAACACAACATGTGGCTGAACATTAATAGCACATTGTGGCTGAGACTATAATAGAGCACATGTGGCTGAGACATTAATACACATGTGCTGAGACATTAATAATACTATTGGCTGAGACATAATACATATGTGGCTGAGGACATTAATAGCACATGTGCTGAGACATTAATAGCACATGTGGCTGAACATAATAGCACATGTGCTGAGACAATAATAGCACATGTGGCTGAGGCATTAATAGCACATGTGGTTGAGACATTAATAGCACATGTGATTGAGACAGTAATAGCACATGTGGCTGAGACATTAATAGCACATGTGGCTGAGACATTAATAGCACATGTGGCTGAGACACTAATATCACATGTGCTGAGACAATAATAGCACATGTGGCTGAGACAATAATAGCACATGTGGCTGAGACATTAATAGCACATGTGCTGAGACATTAATAGCACATGTAGGCTGAGACATTAAATCACATGTGGCTGAGACATTAATAGCACATGTGGCTGAGACACTAATATCACATGTGCTGAGACAATAATAGCACATGTGACTGAGACACTAATATCACATGTACTGAGACAATAATAGCACATGTGGCTGAGACATTAATAGCACATGTGGCTGAGACACTAATATCACATGTGCTGAGACAATTAATAGCACATGTGGCTGAGACAATAATAGCACATGTGGCTGAGACATTTATAGCACATGTGGCTGAGACATTAATATCAAGTGGCTTGATTAAGTAGCTGTGCTGCCAATCACGTGTGGATAATGAATTACTGAGCACTTCGATGACTATACATTATTAGTAAGTGTGGTGGACATTAACAGCAGCTATGTGTTGAGACATTATAGCCGGGACTGGCACATATCCACATGTGTGAGATAGCACTGTACTGTGTTATCCATGCTGAGCCGCTGTGGCGTGAGGTGAAGCACAGTGCTGAGGACATAATGACATGTGCTGAGACTATAAGGTGCAGACATTAAGCACATGGCAGAAATATAACATTGGCTGGCATATAGATGGGCTGTTTGTGTGCGCAACGGGTGGTTATATACGCTCGGGCTTCACTACGTTTTGTTAAGTCTGGTGGGTAACAGGCTTGTGTTTGCCCATGCCGGCAGGGCACCCCCGAAGAGAGCTACTAGTACTTGTGTCTTCCTGCTAGGCCGCTGTGAGAGTGAGGGTGAGGCAAGTCTGGGCATACTGAAGTGGCAAGGCCTATAGGTGGCAGCACCAGCATGGCACGAAATATGAACTAAGCTGGCAGACAGCATGGGCTGTCTGTGCAGACAGTACAGGCTGTCTACTTACGCTCGGCCACCTACCGCGCGTCGATACTGGTGGTAAAAGAAACTCGGTCTTTCTCTCGTAGGAACAGGGCACAGAACACAAAATAAAAACATATATATACATATGGACATGGAAAAAAAAACTTCCTACAGGGAGGGAAGAAAAAACATGTGGGGTGTGCTAAACATCGTGGTCAAAGGCAGTGAGCGTCGAAGGGCATCACTGCACGCCTTCCTGCGTCTGGACAGATACTGCAACACGGGAGACATCGCTGCGGCTGAGCTGTGACGTAACAGGTTACGGTATCCTCTGGAACGGTGAAGCAGTCATCGTAGGAGTCGCTGTAGGTTTTCACTCAACCTGGGGCACGACATGCTGGTGCCCTCGAGTGAGGCGTCGACAAAACTCGGCAACTGGGCAGGACTTCTGGCAAGCGACTCAGGAGGACACTTCTCGACTGGTACTGTCGCTGGGCTGTCACTGCCGGCGAGCGTGGAGCGAGTTGTGGAGCGAGTCGTGGCAGAGACGACTGGGCGAAACATCTGGGAGTCGTAACATCATACACCAGACTGCAGTGAGAGAGCTAGCAGTCAAAGTGACATCTTCTTTGTGCAGGCTGCTCACTGAAGCTTGTGACACGAGGCTGACACAGTGCCTGCCGACAGGCCTGACTGCGGCTTGACGAGTATCATCTCTCGACAGTTGGAGTTATAGCAGAGGTTAGTCTAAGCATCCCCAGACTTGTTTCTCTACATATAACTGCACTCTGACGGTCTGGAGGTGAAGTGAAACAAATCTCGATGGGAATCGTAGCAGGTACGATTCTGCAGAACAACACGAGCGACGAGCATAAAAGCTTTCTGTACAAGAGGGCTCGGTCACTCGGAGCTGTCTTGACATCAGCTGTCAAACGTACTGGTCACACGGGTGACTTAGCACAGTGGTGCTACTCAGGTCTGGCTCAGACCTCACTGGACACACAGAAATTTTAAACACCCGCGGTACAACATGGCTTAAACTAGCAAATGATGCTTTTCTGTGCATAAAACTGATACTAAGACATATACTAAAATGTGAGAACACTGACTGAGAGGAATTAATTAACACGACATGTATCTTCTCTCAATCTTCTCGACAATACTGAAATATTTACTGAACACTCGATGGTGACATCATGTGTCAGGCGTGATGTCGCGAGGTGACGTCAGCAGCACTGTGACGTCAGCAGACATCTCGAGGTGACGTCAGGCAGACATCGTGACGTCATGAAGTCGGGCAGCATCGTGGGTGACGTCAATGTGATGCGGGCAGCAGACCACAGCATGTGGCCTGGGACATCTGGTAACTCACGTAGCTCGTAGGTCTGCGTGACATCGCCCACACCCACGTGGCGTCGTGATCCACGTGGTGTCGTGATCTACGTGGCATGCTGATCCACGTAGCTTCGAGTGGCCTCGGGCACTCGGATACACAGCTCTGGCAATGAATTCACACGAAAAACAGCAGAAAACACAGCAGAGGGAGTGGGCAGTGGTGAGTGGTGTATGGTAGTGGTGAGCATCTGGCCATTCCTCCTCCTCTCACCCACAAACACAGGGAAACACACTGGACGCAGAAATCACCACAAAACTCACCTCTGGCTTGCTGAAACAGCTGTGCTGAGCTGAACAACAACAACAACAGCAACATACAAGTGACGCTGAACACGTGACTTGAGAAACAGCGTGGGACACTGTAGCATGGGACACTGTAGCGTGGAGTCACTGGGACGCCACTCATAATTCTCGAAGAAATTCGGCAAATTTCGGCTGGATCCTGCTTGTACCTGTGTCTGGGTGCTCAAACGTGCAGACACGACATCAGGATAACTTGTTGAGAGACGGATGCTTCTTGTGTAGGGTGATGAAGTGAAGATGACTTCACACCTCTTCCTTCCTCGCTTTGGGCAAAACACTGCTGCGACCACAGCTGCTACCATTTATAACGAGATTATTTGGTGTTCTGGTAGCGGGTAGTAAATGATACGTCTTCTTCGGAGGCTTCTTTGTTGATTGATAATGTCGTGGTGGGTACACAGGCTTGTGTGTTGTGCCCACGGCCCGGGAGGGCCATGCCACGAGAGAGAGCTGGGAGGCCTTGTGTGTTGCTGCTAGGCCGCTGTGTGAGTGAGAGTGTGGCAAGTCTGGGCATACTGAAGTGGCAAGGCCTATAGGTGGCAGCACCAGCATGGCGCGAAATATGAACTAAGCTCGCAGACAGCATGGGCTGTCTGTGCAGACAGTACAGGCTGTCTACAAATAGCACATGTGGCTGAGACATTAACAGCACATGTGGCTGAGACATTAATAGCACATGTGGCTGAGACATTAATAGCACGTATAGCTGAGACATTAATAGCACATGTGGCTGAGGCAT